AAATAATTGAAATTGGAAATTCGGGGTATGTATACACGAGCATGATAATAATTATTAGAAAAATTGCTCAATTAAAACCATATTTCTTCAAAAGCAAATATACAGTTCCGTTAACTCTTACTCTTCAAATAGCAAAGCTCCTTGGCCTCGCTAGTTTATCCTTGTCATTCTGCGATTGAACCTTCAGTGTATCGTAGGCATGCACAGCACAGAGATTGCCCAGTGTTGGGACCTCGATGATGGGTACTGGGCTATATGGCAGTACCATTTCGTCCGTTAGTCCATACTTTTGACGGAATGCTTCTTTTTTCTGCAGATCCACCAGGGCAGCATAATCATCGGGCGAATCAGAGGGCACGGAGGTTACCACACCCGTACCCTTATCCGCTTTAATACTCAGCATAGGCAGTGTGTAAATTGTCTTGTGACTCGTTAGCGGCGCCGACAGTGGAACACCTAAGAGCTCCAGGCCTGTCACTTCGGCCAATACAACAATTTTGCCATCTTCGGCTGTGAAGCCTTGATAGGCCATGTTACGTGTGCGGCACGATGTGTGCTGACCCACACTTCGTTGTCACGCGAGCTTTGCCAAGCGATGTACTTAATGTCTGGGTGCAACCAGCATTCGTTTGGCCATACATTGTCTCCGGACGCAATGTGGCTGCCACCAAGAAAATCGGCTGCTTGATAGCACTGCAAAGGGATAATGATAATTTAGCCCAAATTTATAGTTGAAAGTTGAAACTCACCTTAAAGCCTTGGGCGTCTGCAGGACTTTCATCTCTGATCAGAGTGTATTCTTGGGGACCTACGCCTTCGCCGCTGGAACGATCGTGATCCATGCAGGGCTGTCCGTCTTTAGGGGAATAAATTGTATAACGCTTGCCATACATGATCTTGCCGCGCTGTTTCAAATGGTTAAACTGCCAGCGTACAAACGAGTCGTAGTAGGGATTCGCATCTGTGGTTATAAATGTGCGACGCCAGTCGACATGTACACCGATGCGCTTCAGATCCTGCACGGCCAGCGGTGGAAAGTAGCTCAGCCAGTGCTCTGCATTGGCAAATTGCTTGATTTCCTCATCCTGCAAGCCGAGGCTTTGCATAATTTGCCATTGATATTTGGCACTGCCCGTTTTGGCAACGGCTTTGCTCTTCTTTCCCTTTGACTTATCCTTGGGCACCTCCGACTGCGACTGCTCAACAACTGGCACCTCTTCCTCCGTCTCCGGAACTTGGGTGGATAACCATACGTTTCAAGCTCGCGCGCCAGCTTATCAGCACACGCCTTGATCGGCATACCCGTGCAGTGGAATCCAAAGGGCCACAGCACACGACGTCCCTTGAGGCGATGATAGCGAACAGCATACTCTGCCTTCGACATGGAGAATGTGTGCCCCAAGTGCAAGCGTCCATTCATATACGGAAACGGAAATGTTACAAAGAATTTTTCGCTCAGTTGTTTCTTGGGCTCTGTTGGGGCATCCGTTTCATGCACGCGCTCGCTTCCCATCGCTGTTGCACCTCGCGCTCGATTTTCTGCAGAAATTCCACCTTGAAGGTGCCTTTACGTTCCACATTTGCCTTTTTTGCGTCATGCATATATTAAAACAATTTTAATTATTTCGTTTTTTGATTGTCACCCGATGCAAATATTGCATCAGGTTGAGGATTTTGTATTCGTGGAATTTGCAATTGGATTATAGCGCGCAGCAAGCACGACTGTTTTACCGGTATTATTTTATATGTTTTCGCTTACCATTTTCCTGTGATTGCCTGCGTAATTTATTATGAGTTCACTTAATATTTATTGAAATAACTAGCAACCAACAAATTGCGAATTGCAACGTGTTTACTCCGCTGCGGCGGCTAAAAGGCTGTTATCGTCAACTAATCGAAATACATAAGCAACTATCGATACATTCAGGTGAGAATACAAACAAATGATGATTATTCGCTCACGGCATAACATGACAGTATTCGTTAATTGCAATCACACACGATTTATTTAATAGAAAGACTTTTCACTTTTTTCACTGCAATAAACTTATTCATGTTCAAAAATTCAATTTGCTCGTCCTGATTTCACTGTGTCGTGTTCAATATACTCAACCGTTCCTCAACTATTGAGTGATAAATTGTATATTAACAGTATTTTATTATCGAGAAAATATGTTCTCTTTTTATCGATATTTTCAGTCCACTTAACCTACTTTTTTTATTAGGTGAAAAGTTTTAGATTTAGGTTAATATTAGCTGAATTACGTTATATTTTGGACTATTTGTATTATAAAATGCGACCTGTGTTTGCATTTTTGTTGCTGGCGCTGTTTATGCGTCTGTCAACTGAACAGCGCAAATGTAAATATCAACAGCGAAGATGAAACTGATAATGATTTTGCGGAGTTCGATGATGACTTTGTGGAAGCCAGCTATGATACCGAAACCGCAGAAAATGCCGACTCATCCAGGGGGGCAGGCGGCGATGGCTACAGCAGAGAACGACAGGAACAGCCCAAGAAATTAATTGTTTCCAACGATGATGAGGAGGACGGCCTCGTTGAAAACGACGACGAATTTGAGCACTTCCAGGACGAAGAGGAGTTCGAAGGCTATGATGCTGGTGACACCATGGAACCACCTATTGATCAGAAGACGGAGCCAAAGCTAAAGATACCGAATATACCGTTGCATTTCCGCACTCACTGGGATTCCTATTGGATGGAAATGCTAATGGTAGCCGGTCTCCTAGCTTATTTCGCCAACTTCTTTGCTGGCAAGACAAAGAATGCGCGTCTGGCGCAGCTCTGGTTCAGCACGCACAAAGCGCTCCTCGACGAAAATTTTGCTTTAGTTGGCGACGATGGTAAAGTGGAGAACGAGAACCCAGGACTAATTAAGGAGAGCGAAAGCTTGTACACTCTTTGGTGCTCCGGTCGCACATGTTGCGAAGGCATGCTGGTGGAGCTGAAAATGATCAAGCGTCAGGATTTGGTGTCTCTTGTTGCGGGGTCTGATGCGACCCCAGTTGGATCAGGTGCACATCAAAATCGAATTGACACGTGGCCTAATGGATACATTTGTGTTTGCAGTCGGTAGCAAAAAGACTATAACTAAAATATTCAAGGAGTACACAGATTTGGTAAGTTATTAACTTTTGATCTCGTGGCTGAAATCAGTATTAACTTCTTTTTACCGCAGACCAAGTTTTGTAGCTTAGTTGCCAAGCCCGAGGATCGTTATAACGTTCCTAGTGGCTTTGGCGTGCTTTCGGAAATACCGGAAGCCACATCCGCCATACTCGAGTCACGTGTTATAACTGCACTTAACAAATACCAAAGCTATATCGATTACCTGCACATCTCGGATCAGTTCAGCGGCCAAGTCCAGCAGGAGGAAGGCAACACGCTGAAGCAGCCGGAGACGAGGCCTGTACTATTGGCCGGCTTTAATCTGCCAAAACATGCCGAAATGGAGACCATAAAACCCTTGTTATTGTTAATATTTTATCTAATGGAACGCTTGAAAATCTATCGTATGTCCAAAGAGGTAGGCTATCACACAACTTGACATCCCTCTACTAGCCCCAATATCTTAACAATTTAAATCGAAATTGCAGGCCAAAGCTAAGGCAGATAAGAATCGTTTGCGCGTCGAGGAAGAGTTCCTAAAAAGCACACATGCCGCTCGTGCCGAGGCAGCTGCACAGCGTCGCGAAGATAAGCGCAAGCAGGAGAAGGAGCGCGTGCTCGCCGAAGAGGACCCAGAGAAGCAACGCCGTTGGGAGCTCAAGGAACAAAAACGTCAGGCCAAGAAGAATGCGCCCAAAATGAAACGCCTAGCAGTAAAATCACTATAGATCTTGTGCCCAGTAGTGCCATCTATTTGCGCTCACCTATCTCTAGAACAATTAGCGGCTATTCCTCAAATGCCATTCTAAAGCAATAAAGTATTTGTGTTTATTGAGCGAAAATTAAGTTTGTGCTATATATATTTTTAGACACAAAGCGGCAGCTCTTAAAGCTTACGATTCTGGATCTTGACCAACCAGAAAACAAAAGTTGTCGACCTGGATCCAACCAACTTCGTCTTCGAATTGGCTCATGAGAGAAAAGAATCGTCGAATTCCAGAACTACTAATTGATTTTGAACCGCTTTTATTATAGAGAAATTATATTTACGCACGCATGTATGCAATGTGCAATTTAGTGAATTTCTGTCTCGTTCAACAAAAGATTCATAGAGACCCAAAGGATGTTGATGTAAATATTAACAACCGCAGTGTTGGACAATCATGCATTTTGTACATTTCAGAGATACATTATTTTGAGATTTGGGAGTATGATCAAAGATACGCGAGCACGCGATACGCACACACACGCATACACACACGCACAAATATGACGGCAGTTGGATGAGAACATTGAAATCTGAACGAAACTGTCGTCTTAACATTTGACTGGGAAGCAATTCTCATTGGACACATAGGCAATGTGATTGCGTAGAGTTTTGATTTGCTTTTGGGCCGCATCGAAACTGTAGGATAATGTATTGAGCTGGCCCTGCATTTCTCGTATGACCGCCTCGCGATCGTTGACCGACAAACTGGCCGTGGCACGACATTGTGCCAACTCCTTCTCGAGGCGATTGATTTGTTCCTGCTGCTGGGCCTTGATCATTTCGGCGCGTTCCTTGGTGCCGGCAATGATCTTGGCGGACTCGGTACGCAACGTATCCAGATCGTCTTGTGTAGTCTTCAGTTGTTCACAGAATAGATCGCGCTGCCGCAGCAGCTCCTCGATCTCATTACGCGCTTGGGTCAAATCAAGCTGGCACTGGGCAAGCTGTGGACCCAAGTCTTCTGGGGGATTTTCCAACTGTATCTTGCAGGATTTCAACTCCTTGCAGACAACCACAAGTTTGCTCTGCAGATCATCTTTTTCCTTGCACACCTGCGCTAGTTTCAGTTGCTCGTTCTCGAGCAACTTGGGGAAATGGAGCAGCTCGTTGAGTTTCTCCTGAAATTTGGAGCGTATCTCCTTGACCTCCGTGTTAATTTGCTGCTCGATGCGTTTATTATTCATATTCAGTTTCTCCAACGAGACGCACTGTTCCTCGACCTTTTGCTGTGCCAGCATGTACTTGTTGCGATAATCCTCCAGCTGTTGTGACTGCTCTTTCATGATACATTTGAACTCCAACTGTTCTTCCTTCAGTTCATTGACGCGGGCACGGAGCAAATTTAGCTCAGCGGTGTCAGCGTCCGCAGTACCTTTGGAGGCACCACAGCCGCCCATGAACCCTCGCATGCTAAAGAAAATAAAAAAACGTTAATTGATAATTTTAAAATTGGATCTTGGATAGTTTTCCAACCGTTTTTCCAGCTCCTTCATTTGACAGTCTTTGCGCTGAAACTGGGTTAAGAGTCGAGCATAGTTCTCCTTCATCTTCTCGAACTGGTCCGCTTTGGTATTGCGCTTGCCACCGCAAATGACCAATGGATCGGGATCTTCGGGGCAAGGCGGGCGGGACTGCGCATTGCATGGATCATCGTCGTCGTCGTCGTCATCATAGCCGCCACACGATGTGGGCTCCAGTGTCTCGCGCTTGCTAACCTCATTAAGCAGCTTCTTCACCGAAGACTGCATGTTCACAATGCGACGCTTCAGCTTGTCCAGCGAATCGCTCTTGTTACACGGCGGCGCACAAGGGGGCGGACAGGGTGGCGGACATGGTGATTGGGCACGATGGCGCGAGCGTTTCGGTTGCCGACACGGTGATGGTGGAGGACACGGCGCGCATGGAGGTGCCACCGAGCTGCTGCTGCTCTCGTCACAAGGAGAATTCGCTTTCTGGCATGGACCCGGCATGCACACCTGCTTGGGCTTAGACTTGGAAGCCATGATGGCGCAGGCGATTTCCTGCATCATTTTCATATCCTCTGGGCAGGCGCCCTTCATCTTTTGCATAGCTTTACTTAGCGCCTTAATGAGCCGATCCTCTTGGCCTTCTACTTGACAACGGCTGGATGGAGCGTCTTCGCTGCAGTCTGTGGCCGTACCGGCACTGCCTGCAGTATTTCCACAGGTACCCAAGCAATACGGTGATATATTATCCTCATCTACGGTGGTTGTCATATTTAATTCGCGATAATGACGACGAGAGCCAAAGTTCTGCAGCTTCACAGCTCGATTCATCATTGTGTGTAACTTGATATTCTCTTGCTCCATACAAATGCGCAGGCGCTTGATTTCGCGCAGTTCGTTGCGCGTCTTACAAGGACGTTCGCACATGTCCATTACCTGCATCTTAATGTCTTGTATAATCCTATTCTGGCAATCGATCTCCTTGATGAGAGCCAAATACTCGTGATACATGCGTCTCTGCTCTGGATCATCTGAAGACTCACCCAGACGTGAGAATAAGTCATCCTCAATGCCCTCCTCGATGCCGCCCTCATCTATGGCCGCAACTCCATCCTCCTCCTCAAAATCCTGCTCCTCTGCACCCTCATTGTCACCCATTTTGATCGATACTTACTTTACGAAAGCAAAGTGATGATACCCCTCTCTCTCTCCTGTTCGTTCAATGGTTCCAAGATGTTTTCTTTTTTTATATTATAGCTCGAATAACTTGTAATTTTAAAGCATAATCTTCAAATTTTGGATATGTATTCTGGAATTGATTACTATAAAATTTTAAGGTTGTGTTGTTTTTTTAAACAACGGAAATGAACTGAACCATTCGAATAATGCTTTTCAGTTTTCGAAGCATATGTGCCTTGGCCTGCTTTGACGTGTCTTATGATCAAAATCCACATGCTCATCGACGCCCCGAAAAAATATCACAATCAGAGTAATCAATATTTTCGAGAATAAAAACCTTATGTAAAACTAAATGTATATTCGATTAAGTAAATTTATATTTACTCAACACTAAGTGTTCAGGTCTCAGTTGTTATTTATGGATCATAGATCTAAGATCATCGATCATGGGTCATGGATCATATATAATAGATTTTAGTCCTCGATCATCAGCGATGATTTCATGATCTTTATTAGATTTTTCACTTGGTAGAAAAAATGTTCACAAATTTAGCCTTAGATAGAAGAGATCTTTTTGAATTGGTGTAATCCTTCTGCTGCCGAGAGTAAGCCATGAATTATCTCTATATTGTCAACATTTAATTCTTAACTTCGAAATTGGACTGACTTCAAAGATATAAAATAATCTATAATACCAGATATTAGATTAAATTTGCAAACAACTTTGTTGAAGCCTTTGAGTTATGCTAACAAGTCGCAGTCTTCGTATTAATAATATTATATATATGAATATTATATATACACGAAATGGGCATGATTTGTAGAGAGCCATACAAATGTTTTCGTTGAGTAGGCATTTACAAAAAAATAAAAAAACGTGTTAATAATAATTTGATGTTGTTCCAGTCGAAGTAATAACTATTTTTGGTAAATGAATGTAGAAGTTTCGTTTTAAAAATTATCTGTTGGTAAAAAGACAGGACAAAAATTAGGAAAGTGTATGTAGAAAACGGCTAAGAGCAAAATTATTGTAAATGTTAATTCCGGCCACCTACAAAGCTAACAACGAACCGGCGCCCAGAGGAGTCTCCCCCATCGGGCAAGAGGAGGCCGAGTCGATGGGGAAGCAATCGGAGGCGGATAACACAAGCGGCAAGACTCTGAAAAAGAACAGTTACATAAGTGTCCACTCCAAAAGTTTAACACCGAGCGACGCCACTAAAATCAACTGTGTGGAAGAGGATGAAGAATTGGCGCTCAGCGATGGCGAGCAGTTTGGCTTAGTGGACGATGAGGACGATGATGAGGAGGAGGAGCAGCATCAGCACCAGCAGCAGCAGCAACAGCATCATGAGCGTACGACCAACAGGCGCATCGGACCGCAGGGCGATGAGATGGGAGCCAAGCTGAAGCTGGAGCTAACCAAGTACAAGCAGGAGCTCAAGGAGTACAACGAGACGACCAAGGACCTAGAGAAAAAGTACATGAAGATTAACTATGAACTGAGCGAAATGCAGCAGAAGCATGGCCAGTTTGTGGTCAGGCGCAGTACGAGTCCTGAAATGGAGACTCCAAGCGAAGCGGATGTTGATGGGGTCTTGCTAGATAGATATTGTCCATCCTCCACCAGCATAGGCTCCGACCTGACGGTTAAGGGTCGCAACGGTCAGAATGTATTCAGCAGCAACAGCAGCTTTATGACTGTGCTGGCTGCGCCCAGTTCCACTGGAACAATGCAGGCGGCGCCGTCGTCGTCGCTGGCTAAGCGTAAAGGTAATCGCCATCAGTCGAAAGTAAGGAGCCAGCAGTTGACTACAGGTGCTTATGAGCAGAAGGTAGTAGCATCGCGTGACCACACACGACGCGGCTTGCGAACAGCCTCGGAGGGGCAGGAGAACGACCCATCGTTAGAGGACATGTACAATGTGCTCAAGGACGTGATCAACACGCAGCAGGATCACAAGAGCAAGTACGCCTACAAACAAGACAGCGGTGAGTTCAGTCAGCTGTATACCACGATCAAAGACCTGAAAAGCGAACAGGTACAATATCGCAGCATTATACGGCATCAGCAGGAACGCATCAGCGACTATCACACGCGCTGCGTGAAGGCTCAGGAGATAATGAAGACGCAAAAGCATGAGATCGACAAGCTGCACGTGAACAACAAGCAGCTGGAGTCGAGCATCTACAATGACATCGACACTCTGCGCTCCAAGATCGACAGCAAGCTGAAGAGCGTTGCTCAGCTGCCGCATCTGATGCGCGAGGAGCACACCAAATACGAGAATGTGCTGCGCGAGAATTGCCTGATGGCTGAGAAGCTGCACTCGCTCCAGAAGGAGGCCACGCAGCTGAAGTGCAAGATCGATGAGCTGGGCAAGCGGAAGCTGATCACGGTCAATCGCTTGAAGGCAGCTGAGCGGGATCTTAAGATCTTTAAGAACTACAATGCTGCGCTCAAGACGGAAAAGCATCGCCTTGCCGAGGAGCTGACCACGACCAAGCTGCAGCTGGACACGCTGCAGGCGGCGGGTAAGCGGCAGCTGTCGCGGCATCGTGAGCAAACGGAGAAACAGCGCCGAGAGCTGCAGAAGCGCATTTTCGATCTGGAACTGAAGCTCAGCCGCAGCCAGAACTCCACGTCGAGTCTCATACAGGAGCGAGACAGTCTCATTGCCGAGCTGCAGACACAGCTCCATACGCTGGTCCACAACTTCGAGGTCTCTCAGAAGCATATACGTGTGCTTAGACGTCACATCTACACCATGACCTCTGGCGGCACCACCGGCGGTCCCGCTAGTGTCTCTCTCGCTGTGCCCTCCAGCAGCGTCAGTCCACAGCGCTCCTGCCCCACCAGCGAACAGGGCACGTCGCGAACGAATACCCAGACCCGGCAATCCAGCCCCTGCACCATACGACTGGGCACTCCACGCACGCTAAAGGCCAGAACCTAGAGCAGGTCAGCCGGAGCTCTACTTAGCGGTTCAAGCGACTTGAAGATATGGCCAGGATCAACCGTACGTTATCTATACAGATCGCCGACTCCTGGGCCATACCATCAAGTTGCTTGCCACACGCTACTTTGGTAGACTTTAATGGCAACTGTGCAACTCGCCTCGCAACATTTTTATTTGTGTCATTTCTATAGATTTTAATGAAATTTTCGTGTATAAATTGTGTTTGAATTCCATATATATACTTTCAGTTAGTCAATAAGAAAATCAGTTTTGGCCGCATGAGTTGGGCCTAAGATATGGGAGTGTCTTTATAGATGTTGAGTAGGTTATAATAATCAACGTTGGCTGCTTGTAAAAAATATGATATGGTAAAAATATGGTAAAAATATGGTAAAAAAATATGGTAAAAAAATATGGTAAAAATATGGTAAAAAAATATGGTAAAAATATGGTTAAAATATGGTAAAAAAATATGGTAAAAATATGGTAAAAATATGGAAAAATATGGTTAAAACATGGTAAAAAAAATGGTAAAAATATGGTAAAAATATGGTAAAAAAAATATAGTTAAAATATGGTTAAAATATGGTAAAAAAAATATGGTAAAAATATGTTAAAAAATTATGGTAAAAATATGGTTAAAATATGGTAAAAATATGGTAAAAATATGGTAAAAATATGGTACAAAAATATGGTTAAAATATGGTAAAAAAAACTATAGTGAAAATATGGTAAAAATATGTAAAAATATGGTAAAAAATATGTTAAAAATATGATAAAAATATGATAAAAATATTAGTACAACGAACCACGAAAAATTGTGCTCTGCTTAGTCGAAAAATCTTGGGTAGTCATAAAAACTATTTGTGATTTGCTTAGAGTCCTATAGCTATATTTTGTGGGCTTCTCTTTGTTTGATGAGCTCGTTTCGATCTCTAAAAGTTTATATTTTTATTTATTTATATGCATTTATTTATATATAAATATAGTGCCCTTGATCATTCAGTAAGCTTGGAAAATTAACTATTAGAGAGAAAACATCAAGCACATCGAACATCACAATCTTTTCCAGCTTAATTTTGTTTCAATTTAATCCCATGTTTGATTTTCCTTTTTAAAAATATAATATGTGTGTAAGACATAGAAATGAATGTAAATATATTTATTTATAATAAAGTAAAATATCTAAACATCATCTGAAATATAAAATAAATGTTTGTTTGAACTTTGGTTTTGTTCTCAAAATACATATGCATAAATATATATAAATATATATTTATATATAATTGAATTTAAGATTTTATATATATTTGGCAGAGTTCAAATATATCTCCGTATGTACAGTTCAGCTTGGTATATCTACAGTCTAACTGCTAATTAAGCAAGCACTTCAAAGGTTCAAAAAGCTATTTTAAGCTTGACATTCACGTTTTGTTTGATATATAAGTGTATCCTATAGCCTCTTTATTATGTCCAAGCAATCCCATTCAATATTCCAAAAATATTGATAAACAACAAATGAAGGTCAGACTTTTATTATGACACTCGTTTGCCCTTATATGGAAGCTGTCCTTCGCAATAGATTTTCAAGGGTTCTTGCTGATCTCATGGCAGCTGCAAAGTGCCCACGATTAGTAATCAAATTATTCAATTCTAAAAACATATATAAATGTACTCAAAGAAAAAATATGTGTAAACAATTCAGCTCGAGTGCTCGATAGCCCGCGAATGCTGGCCACACAGCTGATGCGATTCTACAGATATATGCATGTCTATATATATATATATATATAGATGATGTTGGTATATATAGTGATAGTATACATAAACATATTCCGCAGCCACTTTGGAGGCATGATGCTGAGTGGGCTCTGTGCGAAAAGTGTTTGCTGCTCCAGATGGATGGGGCATGCGGAGGGTGGATCGTGAAGGGGGTACGGGCATCATGTTGACAGCTGTGTAAAAGAACTCGTGTAGGAAGCACAAGTGCGAGAGCAAAGAGCGGAGCAACAGTATAGCTAAATTTATAACAAAACTGAACTGAAACACACTGAGAATTGATGTTTTCAATATTTAAGCAAAAACACAGCCGGCGGCAACGGCGGGGGGTTGGCGATGACCTGGCGAGAGCCAAAGGTGCGACGCTAAAGCTTTTCCGCTTTTCCACTTTTTCGCACACTGAGGGCTGCCCAGTTGAGTTTTTGCACGCGACGCGAGCGGCTGCTGTGCGACAAAGATGCGATACGCTTCGCTGCTCAAGTGGAATGCCAATCAGCCGATGACGCACTGCAGCAGCGCCTCAATAGGCTGCTACGCATTGCTGCTGTTGCTACTGCTGCACGTTCAGCCAGCTGTTGTGGCCGCTGCAGATAGTTCCTGCCTCATACGTGCCACACTCTACGTAACGCCGCCGCAACAGCGTAGCCTGCAGGATTTTGGTCTGCCTTTGGACATTGATTGCACTGAGAATGCCAGCAGCACTGGAGCTGCTGTCTTTGACTTGGGCGCGCAGCGTGTGGCTGGCAAGTTGCATGTGCGTCTTAATGGCAGCCAGACGCCGCCGCTGGACATGGCCAGCTATGGCCTGGAATATTTGGACAATTGTGCGCAGCTGGAGAGTCTAGAGATCGAGCGTTTTGTGCTGGAAGCTAGTCTTGCCTTGAACTGCGGATCGAAGCTGGAGCTGGAGCTGAAGCAGCTGCGTGTTGTAACCATGCGCCACAACGAGCTGGGCACGCTCAGCGCCAACAGCTTCGTGTTGCTGCCGCACTTGCAGCAGCTGCTGCTGGAGAACAACTCGCTACGGTTCGTCGAGCCACTCGCAGGCTGCCGAGAGCTGCAGCAGTTGACCATACGGCACGAACGTCAGTTGGAACTGCGACAGGCCGAGCTGTTGGAGCAGCTGGAGCAACTGCAGCATCTGGAGCTGACACAGCTGAAGCTTGTGACGAGCGAGTTCTTGGAGGCGCTGCCTGGGCAGTTAACTGAGCTGCTGGTGCAGCAAACGCCCATAGAGCGGCGACATCTGCGACTCGGCAACGGCACGGAGCAGCTGCGCAATCTCAGCCTGGTGCAGTGTGAGCTGAGCGGCTTCACACTAGATGCCGCAGCAACCTCCAAGCTGCTGCATCTGAATTTGAGTGGAAACGCTCTGCGACAGCTACAATTGTTCAACAGCTCGATCATTAGCCTAGATCTCAGCGCGAATCACCTGAGAAGCTTGAACAGCAGTTGGTTTGCCCAATTGACGCATTTACAGACGCTGCAGCTGCAACAGAATCAGTTGCATAGCATTTCATGGCTGCAGCTGCTGCAGCTAGCTCCTCATAGTCTGACCCAGCTGGACTTGAGCTCGAACGAGCTGTTGCGCCTGGATCACACGGAGGGCGCTGCCTGGGATCAGGCGCAGCAGCTGCACATACAAATCGACGATAATCCGTGGAGCTGTCAGTGGTTGCTCAACTTCTCGCATGCCCAGCCGCAGTTGTTTCGACTGTTCCGCTATGCCAAATACATATCCCATATCAATGTGAATGGGTTGAGCTGCCGGCCGCAGCTGGAGGAAGCAACGGTCAAGCCAAGTGCGAACAGCAGTCAACAGGGCGAGGCCCAAGGCAACTGGTCGGTGAGCCATGCCCATTTGAATGTCTCCAGCCACACGGTGCTCTATGGCAATCCCATACAGCAGTCGCACAGCCAGCGCTCGGAGGCGCTCATTATAGTGTTCATGCTGCCGTTGGGCATAGCGCTGCTCTTTCTGCTCTTGTATCTCTATCTGCACTGCGAGCGTATGTTCCATTGGTCCTACTACGCCAGCGGCCTGCCCTGCTTTTGCGGCAACAAAGCCTCAAGCAATCATCGCTTTGTGGATCACATAGACATCGTGCGCTATCCCATCGCCAATGGCAATAGCACCGCCAACATGACTGAGGATCTGGAGCCGCAGGCGGATGGCTATGAGACACCACTGAGTGGCTCCGCCTCCATTTGCAACTGCGCCGGCCAAAGGCAGTCCACCTGCTCGCGCACCCATCACGTCACCTATGAGGTCATGCCCACAGATCTGCCCTATCAGCTATACACAGAGATCAAGGAACCGGCCGACGGAGGAGAGGTGGAGGAGCCACTTGATGAAACGCCCGCAGCCTCAGCGCCCATCTACGAGCACTTGGGCTTCGAGGAGGAGAAACCGTTGGACGTCTAACAGACTGCTTAATTACGTAAGCTACAGAAAGAGATTGTCTAATAAATACTATCAGCACAACTTTGTCAACTGTTTGCACTAAGAGATCATCTCAGTCGAATGGAATGTGTACACCCTGTACAAATTCAAAGAACGGGTATTATGAACGTGTCGAAATGCATGTAACAGAAAGTAGAAAATTATAGTAATATCAGCAAGAGATACATTTCATATCTAAATCTTACTCATTTTTCATTAAAAGTTCAGATTATGAGCAAAAGACTGCACTCTTTGGTAATTGAATTATCTATGAAGTTCTGATTAGAGTCCCATACGGGGTCTTAGACGAGGTTTTGATGTGACTGACGTAACAGCCGAAATAGACAATTCTAACTCTATCTGCATATTTACAAATTTATGATTGGGGATGCGTTATGAGTGTACCTAGTGTTGGCCGTTGATTACAATCAAGAATATATTTAGATGCAGATAAGTATTGACAATATACCAAAGCACATTGACAATATTATAAAGCACAGAATCGGAAGTTACAAATTTTTGTAGACTGACTTCTAACTGGAGCATAGAGTATCTTTACTCTGAAGGGGATCTCAAATAAGACAACATTTTATGTGACAATTGCAGTTTTCAATTTTTATACTGTAAACATGATTTTCATAAAATTCCCTCATATATTGATTAAGCCTATACACATTATCTGCTATGATTATTTATTATATATTATATATTATTATTATGAAGTTCTATTAATCATAATGCAGTTTAGTCCATAGCCTACTTGCACATTTTTATATAAACTTTAAAAATATTAGTTGATGTACAACATGCCGTAACTCAAGTCTGGGCTCCAGAAATATTATACAATGTTAATACATATTTGAAAACCTCGAATGGCTCTAAAATTGGGTTTAGCTTATATATAAATTTGTCATTTTGTTTATTTTATATTTTTCATAAGTCTGATTTATAGAAATTTTATTGTTCCAGGTTTGCATATACTATCTTGATGCCTGTTGCAGTAAGACTCCGAATGTGAATCTAGGATTGGCAAGAATTATTAAGTTTGTACGTCTCGTTGTTGTTTGGTGTGTAATTCATAGACTAAGTCTTAGTTTAATTAAAAATTGTATTTATAAATATGCATTTGCTTTTCACTTTATGAGCTTGCTGGCTTTTTGGATGCCACAACGATGCGTCGTATTATGCTCTGCGACTTTTTGACTGGCTTTATGTCCAGGATTTCAGGCTGAGCATTTTCCTTGCTGCACGTCGCTGGACTGCAAAGATCAGGAGACAGATTGTGCACAATGGGTGCGTTGCTGCTGAACTGCACATTCTTGTTGCTGTCTTCGGCAAACAAATCGCGTTTCTTTGTTAGTATAGAGCGCACTGGACAGAGGACGCTGGTCTCAGTGTCAATGGCACTAGACTTGACTCTAACTGGCGTGCCCTTGCGCAAGGGTTTAGCCTCACAAATTTCATGAAACTCAATGGGCTCTTCCTTGGTCCTAACTGGCGTACCCTTGCGCTGCGGCTTGGCAGGCGTGGGAACTTGCTCATGTTGGTCCTCATCAAACTCAGCTATAACCTGACTTAATTTGATAGGAGTGCCCTTGCGCTGAGGCTTGGCAGGCACAGAAAGCTCAGCCGGTGCTTGCAATGGTTCTGTTTCAGGTGACATAAGCTGCTGCTCACATTTAATTCGGATGTGTCCAATGGGTGGAGTGGACATTGTAAGTGATTGAGATGAGGAACTTAACGGTTCGATTGCATCCGATTCCTCTAGCTCAGTTTTGCATTGGACCTGATCTAGTTGTAGCTGTTCACCTGAGTTCTCTGTGGATGCCTGATCAATTACCTCATGCTTTATTTTAATTGGACAAGAGAGCGGTGCATATTTAATGGCAGAGCGCGACTCCGTCTCCGGCTCAGTTTTAAGTGGAGTGTCCAAGACAATGACATCCGTTTGCAGATTGACGCAAACTGCACGCGGCTTTAACGGCGTTTCCAATACAACGAGTTCAGCTTTTGTTGTCACGTTAACTGCATTCTCGCAGCCTAAAGGGGCGGCCGTGACGTTGACAATACGTGGCAAGGCAGCTTTAAGTTGAGCTTCCTTAATATCGAACTCCATGGCCTGCATGGGCTTGAAAGCAATCTTGTGCTCCATCAGCAGATTTTCGCGATCAATCAACACACAGCGTGACTTCAGCGATTCAAAGCGCCAACTGAACAATAAAGACAAATAGGTTTAAAACAGCTTAAAATGCGAATTATTTGAACTGACCGTGCCATGTCCTGTTGCATATTGCGCAACTGTTCCTCGAGCGTGGCATTTTGGATGTGCATACTGCGCAGTTGGGTCTTCAGCTCGTCCGTTTCGCGTCTAAATGGAATGGGAATGTTGTGAACTAAATCTAAACGCAGCCTAACTTAACGGGCAAATCACAATAAAAACAATCTGTAGCTGGTAAAGCTAAGCAAATGATTGCAAAGCTTTGCCACAACATGGCCCAAGCGTTCGGCCAGCTCATACTTGCAGAAATCCAGCATAGAATCTAGCCAAGTCACTGATTTTTGGCTGGCCAATTCGCGCAGACGCTCCTGCAGCTCATTCAAATTGCACTCCAGTTTGGCATTTTGCTGCAACAGCTTGCGAATGCGTTCATTGAGCTTATCTACAAAATGGATCAGAATAAGTTAAGAAAGTTCTACAGCAGAGTTCCCCGAGCCAGTACTCACTCTGGTAGGTTTTGTCGGCGCTGCAGAAGATTGTGCTGCATGCTTGAAGCTCCGTGTGCATGGCTATGTTCTCACGTTTAAGACGATGTATTTCAAATTTACTCTCGTTGAATATCTTCTTCATATCCAAATAGCTCTTCTTTTGGGCAGCTAGTAAGTGCTTCATCACCTGTCGTTGATCATCTACCTCCGCAAACAGTGAATTTCCTTTGCGTTCTGCAAGTTTATTGCATTCAAGATAAAGTTATAAAGATTTCGACTTGTATACTCAACCATTGTGTTCTGGGGCACTGCTCAGCAGGGCTATTTTGGCATTAGCATCCACCAGCTGCTCCTGAGTGCTCTCCAACACCTGAAACTTCTCCTCCAGCTCATCTCGTTTGCTGCGCAGATTTTGCTCCAGGCAATCGATTTGATCTTTTAATATCTCAATGGTTTTCTGTGCAGATAATAAGATTATACCAATAGGATGATACATTAAAGATACTCACCTCTTGCTCGGCGAGGGCAAAGGTATTTTTCACATTGCCCTCCTCATATTCAGCCAATTTTTGCATTAGCTCTGCATTCTCCAATTCCATTCCATTTAAACGTGATATGATTTCATCGTCTACACTGCTCGTTTTCACCATAGCAGACGATTCCAGATCGCGCACTGCGTTCTCCAGCTTCGCCTTGAGGCTGACTGTCTCCTCGACTTTCGCATCGTAGTCCTGTTGTAAGGTTTCATGTTCCAGTTGTAGATTTCTGTGTTTGCGTCGGAGATCTTCCAATTCTTGTTGCACACGCGCATCTGTGTTAGGACACGACGCTTGCGCCTGGGCGTTTAGATGTTCCAGCTCCTGCGTTAAATATTTTTCTGCCGCCAAAGATGTGTCCAGGCTTCGTTTGAGCTCGTGTATTCGCTGGGCATCCTCCTCACTGCGTTCTTTCAGTTGCTCATGACGCTCATGCAATATTTTGTATTCTTCGACTATGTCTTCTATGGTCAAAGCATTTAAATCTAAGTTATTGTACATTTTAAAAACAATACTCGGGTCGTTTTTTCTGTAGGGCGACAAAATTTTGAATCAATTGTGCAAAAGCGACGCTACAGCAGTGCTGCTAGACAATATATATCGATATTATTTTTAGATATATATTGAGAGAATGTGTCATCCCAATCGATACTATCCTAGACAAATCGATAGCTATAATGTGTTAGCTAGTTCATGTGAATGGCAACTTTTATTGGCGCCATCTGTTGAGTATTCATTAGGCGCCAAATCAAAATTGATTAATTTTTAATACAATTTAATTGTTTAATACAATTTAATACAATTTAATTTATTTAATTAAGTTTATAATTTATGCTTATGGAGAATAGTTTAAAGTCTTAAGTACAAATGTTAAGTGTTGTATTATACGCATATGCGATGCTTTTTGTTTGGCTACTGGTTGCCATGGAAATGAACAAACACAAATAAAAAGGTTATAATATTTTCATTCTGAAAAAAGAGCTTCAACAAAATGCAAGAGGAGGCCGCTGATAAAACGCAACAGTTGCAAAACTTTCAATCAGATGACTTGCTGGAAAAGCTGAAGCTGCTCAACTATGAGAAGCATCTGCTCAGGGAATACAAGTTGAAGCCGCTGTCGCGCTTTTATTTCGTGAAGGCAACAAATCCGGGAGAGCAATTCTTTATGTTTACGCTGATCTGCTGGTGGCTGTGCAGGAAGCTGGGCAAGGAAATGGAGCGGCCGCAGGAGCACGATGATCCCAATACGGTGATCGCCAAGATAATGCAAATGCTGGAGGAAATCGTAAGTTCGTAGAGCTAACTGAAGGTTCAGGCAACTGAAGTAGTCGCATCCTTGCAGGATGTGCCAGTGGACTTTGCTCCCAATAAGCTTATACGTGGCGCTGGTCCCGTTTGCCTTATGGTGCTCGATTCGTTGGCCACGCAGGCGGTGAAAGTGACGCAAGTCAACTATCAACGCCTGCACATAGCCCAGGAGGAGGAGTTTGTGGGCGACTACTTGGAGGACAATGCAGAGATCATATTGGAGAAGTTGGAGGATGAGCAAAATGCGGCCGCCCTCAGCGACGACAGCGATCTCGAGCTGGAGGCGCATAATTTCAAGCAGGTCAACTGGCTCAACCGCCAGAAGCGTGCCCTGGGCGCGCTGCCAGCCAGCGCGACGGACGAGCAAAACCGCGAGCTGGACGCTCGCCTCAGCGATCATCAGGAGTGGCGCTTGGAGCTGGAGCGCGTGCTGCAGCAGCTAAAGGTATTCGTCAAGGCCGATGCCCGCGACTGGCGCACCCACATCAGTCAGATGGAGACCCTCAACACGGGCATCGCCAACGTGGCCGAGTCGACGCAGGCGCAGCTCAAGAAGCTGCACAGCGAGTTCACCTTCAGCATGGAGAAGATCGAGAGCAGGGAGAAGCACTTGAATAACGAGCTCCAGCCGCTCATCCAGCAGTACAAGGAGCTCTCCATTGAGCTATCCACGGTGCAGTACGCGCAGGCCCAGGTCCAAGCCGAGGCCGAGAAGCAGATGAACCAGCTCAGCGAGGTGATGGCCGAGCAGGAGCTCAAGAAGCAGGAAATGGAGCGACGCGGTCAAGTCATGTCCGATGGCAGTGAGTATGCCAAGCAAGCGAGGAATATGATGAACATAGTCAAGATCTGTTTAGTTCGACTGACTGCGATGGTGTTTTTATAAAAGTCTTTCATTTGTTATTTTTATTAATTTCATTTTTCACTCAGATATTCATTATAAATAATAATTTGTATAATTTTTAATTTTATTATTTACTTTCTTTTAATCTATTTTTATTGTTCTTATTTATTATATTTAAATTCAATATAATTTTTATTAATATTTACTTTTTATTTAAGTAGCAATTTATTAATTATTAATTATTATTATTATTAGCTACCTAGACTTAATTTGCTTTATTATGAAAGGTTTCTTATTTTCTACTTTTATTTATTATTATTTTTTTATTAAATTAAATTTGTATTTAGATTAAATATTTAAAAATTATATAAGTTATTTTTATTTATTTTTTATTTTAATGAAATAATATTTTTATTAATTTTATTAATTTAATTTATTAATTTTTGACAAGTTAAAGTAAGTTTTAATTTAATTTATTTTTAGTTTTATATATTCCCTGCAGACCATCTCCCTCTCCCTCACACTCTTACTATATTTGTCCAACATCTGAGCTCGCCCTCTCTCTTTCTCGCTCAATCTCTCCGTCTAGCCTTGTGCTTCGTCTCCAGCATATTCTACTCAATTCCCCACACTCCTTCTCACCCTCTATTGCTTTCTCTCTCTCCATCTCCCTTCATTTTAAATTGTCAAAAAAAAACCTTGAGTGTGCAGAGGAAATACAAGGAAGCTGAGAGAACTTGGAGTAATTAATTTGAAAAGTAAAGTCAACATTTTAGACTTTACTTTTCAAATGAATTACTCCAAGTTCTCTCAGCTTACTTGTATTTCCTCTGCACACTCAGAGTTGCAATAATTCGTGATTCATTATTATTTATAGCATAGAATAGAAGATATCCAATCAACTAACTGGAACACAATTTATTACTCATTGCTTAATGAATTCACATATGTTCGGCGTAGCTCTTCCATTCCGCAGGTTCTGCTAAAAGTCAATTGTGATTCATAGCATATTTCGCTGACTCTGACGCTGTTATCAAAGTTCGGGAATATTGCGTCATGTGATTCGATCTCTGTCTTTGCAGGTTCCGTGCAGCAGATAAAGAAGTCGATTGCCAAGCTAAAGGATGACATTGCCCAGTTGAATCTGGAGGTGGCCTTGCTGGTGCATGCCTACGACCAGGAGACAGTGCGTCAAGCGCTCGACCCTGCCGACCAGGCAAACAACTGATAAGCGAGGGAGTCCTCTCGGTATTTAGCATACGAACGCGATCGTCGACCCGGGCACATTTCACACTTGGCCATAGGTGCGTTGTTGCTGGCCTTGTTTACACCGATCGATGGCTATCGATGGGGGCAGCAACAACAGGCCAGACCACCGGCGTTGCTCCGCCCCGTCGAACGTTGTTTGATTTGATTGCTGCAGTGCAGCTGATAAGCTTTGTAATTGGTTGCTAAGCCAATAGGGCGGTCAATTATCACCTCTTTGTTATCTACGCTCGCACACACACACACACACACACGTACGCGTGTCCTGCGCTTGATCAGATAAGCAGCCACGTCGCACTTAGATGAGAGGATGCCGCAACTACCACATAACCACGAACCCAACCGCGAACCTAACCAAACCAATCCGAAACCAAAGCAAACCTAAGACGCAACCGCGAAACCGCTTGCCCGTCCGTAGGTGTTGCTACCCTCTCCTCTCTCATCTCGCCTCTCTCTCTCTCTCTCTCAGCCTCTCCCTGCATCGTCCTCTCTCCCTCTGCTCGCCGCGCACGCGCAAACGCTTTGTTTGCCCACTTGGCCAGCTTATCAGCCCAATTCCTAATTCCCAATTGCTCAGGTCCCGGCGATGCGCAACTTGTTGTGATTTGCGCTGTGGCTGGCCAAAGGTGCTAAAAGGTTTTCCCAAAACACAACACACGCACATACACAACAACAACAACAACAGTCACAGCAACACAGCTTGGCAACTGCCCAGGACATTGCTTTGCACGTGCTCAGGGTTTTTCCAACATCCTTCAGAATGTAACCGCATGTTTAGCCAAATAAACCCAATGTTTAAGTACTATAAACATATATCTATATGTATATATCTATATATATTAAATTTCTTACTGTTTTATAAATATTTGTGGAATTAAATATCAAAGAAAAATCTATGACAAAATTTATTTAATTAAACTAAAAATATTTGACTTTCCTGCCTGCTCGCCAACAACACAAAATACTTAACTGAAAACAACTGTTAAAATGTTAAGCTGAAATTAATACAAATGAAAACATTTTATGAAGTTTATTAGTCAAGAATTTGATTAGGAAAAAGCGCATTAGAGCAATGATAAAATCAGAAAAATTCTCTTAAAGCAAAAAATCGGGAAAAATCTAATTTCATTATTAGCAAAAGTCAAATTTTTTCTCATCTGCTGAATTTCATTCATTTCTGTTAGCCATTTTATAATTTTATATTAATTGTATTTTCACATGTTTTCATTAATGTTTTTGGTTCAAGTGAGCCATTGAAGCACAATTCGAGCTGGGCTAAAAGGCAAATCATAGCGCGTTAAACTTGACTAGAGAACATAAGTATCTTGGGCTGAAAGGGTCTGCTATATTGCCAATATATAATTTATATAATATATTATATATATATTTATATAATTTAATTAAAATAAGCTGTAATTTTTCTTTATAATTTCTTATAAATTGTTTCAATTGCATTTCGCAATGGCTGTTTGTTAAGCTACTCGCTTAAGGCTACATGATCTCACTTCACTCACCTAGTATTATGGCTTATCATGTATATATATCTCTCACGGCAATTTTTTACTTTAAATGGAACAATTTTTAATTTTATAAATTTCGAAATATTTTTATATTTAGGTAATACATATTTTAATTATGGAATTATTGCCAAAATAAAACGATTTATCAACAGCTAAATAGAAATTGTGAAGGTATAGATATATATATATTATATGTTATTAATATATAATATTTATATAAAATTAGGCATCATATATTTAATATAATTAAATCAATTCAATTCACATTTATTTGCGCGTTCTTAAATTTTGACAGTTTTAGAAATATATTTGAAATTTACTCTCTGATCAAATTGATATGAATGCAAAAAAGAATATAAAAAAACTAATTCAAATGCATGCAAATTCATTGTAAATATTTTTTAAATATTTTAAAAATATATCAAATTAATGAAAAATAGGAATTTAAATGAAAAACTTGATAAGTTTGTCAATCACAATTTAAATAAATATTTTAGATTTTCCTAAATGCTTATAGCTCGCTCTCTCTAGCTGCAGCATCCCACACATCATCTCTCTCTCTTTCTCTCCTGCTCCCATTCTCTCCCTCTCTTTCTTGCAGCCTGTTGCTCCATCTCTGTCTGGCTATGGGCATGCAAAATAGAGCAAGTCAAAAGTCATTTTGTGGCTCTTTTCGCTTTGCTTTGGCATAAATTGCATTATTATTAGGCTTATTTGATATGCGCCGACGACCAAAAAGCTGCAGTGAAATTGCAAAGCCAACAACAACAGCAGCAGCAACAACAACAAACAACTGACTGTAGCATTAAACTTGTTGTTGCTCCAAAAGCCAAAAGCAACTACTGTTCATTTCCCACGGTAGGATTCGGATGCCATTCCACTGAGTTGAGTGGCAGGCAACTCGCGACTCGCAACTCGCAACTCGCGACTCGCAGCTCGCAGCTCGCAGCTCACAGCTCGCTCTGGGGCTGGTTTTTGGCCAAAGCAACAACAGTTTCTCAATCTGAGTCTCTGTCTCAGTCTCAGTCTCAGTCTCGGTCTCGGGCTCAATCTCAGTCTCGAGTATCTCTTCGGCTCTCAGTGTCTGCGGAGTGGGAGGCAGCTCTTGGCAAGCAGCTGGATAAGAGCGAGTACGCGAGATGAGTTTCATTTTCTCATTGTTTGGCACGATCAACTTTGCAACAACAAGAGAAAACCTGTTGCCCGCTTCAGCCTTACGTTGAATGAACAAATTTGTGTTCAGCTTTTTGTCTTTTATTTTTTATTTATTTTTTTTTTTGGTTTTAGCCTCTGGCTAAAAAGCATTTGCTGAGCATAAATCGTGATTTAGCCCAACAACAGCGAGAGAGCCAAAAGGTAAAAACCAAAAAAAAAAAAATAAGCAGAAGAAGCAGATAGCGACTCGAGTTGGGGCTAAGCTCAAACCCTATGCAACAGACGCCACCACCTACAAATCACCAAATTGCATTTCTTAGTCCACATTCAAGGCCTACATAGGGGTATTATTTATGCATCTAAAATTCATTCAGAAAACTCTTTTCGACTAAATTCATTGAGAATTCTTCGCTGGATTTTTTTTATTTGTTTATTTTCGATTGGGTTGGGTTTCGGTTCTTTGGGTTCGCGTTGTCAGCTTGTCAACGTTTCTGACCGCTCGCTGTGCTCGTTATCATCAGTGCCGCAATCCCAACCCGAATCTATCTATCTCTCTCACTCTCTCGCTCTCTCTCCCTTTCCATACACCCATCTCAGTCGAAACATCGATTTAAATGCAAATCAATGTAATAAAACATTTTTCCTCCCTCTCTCTCTGTCTCTCTCTCTCTCTCTCTTTCTGTAACTTTTTTGTTAGCGATATCAAATACGATTAATTTTAAATTCAATTTGTTTAAACTGAAAATGGAGATGGAGCTGTAGCTGTAGCCGTGGATGGGGCTGGTGCTCGCAGCTGATGACACCTACGCCCAGCCAACACCTCAGCTCAGCTCGACTCAGTTGTGTCTTGCTTTGCTCTCCAGAGTCGACTCTAAATCAACGGAAGTTCATGTGGCGCTTAGCACATGAAAATCGATCGTAAATCTTCTTTTCACAGCTTTCTAAAAAGATCAAAACATCGTTCAGCTCCAGCAATGCGGGGGATCGCCTTTTGCTGCAGCTCACCATGAAACTGTTGGCCATTCGAACAAACCCTATCATTCGTATTACCCACAGAATGTATTTTATATAGCGATTGAAGTGTGCTGGAGCTGGATCAATTGGACCTTGGATACAACTACAACTAGAATTTGGTTAGATATATAATTATTACTCCCAACTAGATGAGTATTCCTGATCAGCAGCAACAGTAAAGTCCACATCTATATCTATATCTATATCTATATCTATATCTATATCTATATCTATATCTATATCTATAACTTTATCTATATCTATATCTATATCTATATCTATATCTATATCTATATCTATATCTATATCTATATCTATATCTATATCTATATCTATATCTATATCTATATCTATATCTATATCTATATCTATATCTATATCTATATCTATATCTATATCTATATCTATATCTATATCTATATCTATATCTATATCTATATATCAACAAAAGTTAACAAACAAAATCTTTTAATTTGAAAGTTTCTTCTGTTTTTTATGGCATATTCAATAAATTCAATAATCTTCCCTCATCCCAGTCACAACTTTTCTATGTTAAAGACTCCAAAGTATATAAGGCTCTATATCTCTAGAGTTATTCCAAGCAAAAAAACACAAATACAATAAATAAGCAATCATCATATGACTTTTTATACTTATATATACCTAGAGGAAAACTTCTCCCGTGTAGCAAGCGCAAAAGTCTCAAGAGGAATACAAACGACCAAGTCTTGCTTCCGATCATCAACAACTAATACAGTTTAATTTTATAAAAAATAAATTGAATTAAATTATATTATTTGTAAGGCATTAAAAGTCAATGCAATTAAAACAAAACGTGCCAAAGTCAGCAAATTCATCATAGTTATAATCTGCTTCAAATGCCTAAAAAACTATTTCTATTTCTTCATTCATTATAAATTTCTTAAAAGCATCTGAATATTTTTTATTTATTTAGAGTTTATTTTTATTTTATTTATATTTTCTTTATTTTATTTATTTTTAGTTTTATATAATAATAAACAGGCTACGGCGCTCGCAGCAGGCGATGACTTGACAAAAGCTGCTCGCAAATCGTTTGCACTGTGCGCAAAAGTATTAAATTTCATTAATTGCCAAAATTAATATAAAAAACAACAACAAAGTAAATGAAATAAAGAATGAGAAAAAAATAAAAAACATTTGTGAAAAATTAAAAATTCATACGGCAGCGATGCGGTCGCATAAATTTCAACACGGCCGAAGCTGCGGCGGGGTGGCGGCAAGGCTGCCAACAGCCAGATGTGAGGCTGAAGAGCAGAAGATGTGGGCGTCCCAGAGATATGTTGCTATATACACTATATAGAAACAATATACATATATATATGAAGGCTTCAAAACTGGAACGTTGTCAACAGCTGCTGCTGCTGCTGCTGCTGCTGACGAGGAGGATGACAAAGTTAGCTGCGATGATTGCCTCACGGTAGTTTGTGTTTCTGTTTCTGTTTCTGTGACAGAGTTGCCAGGCTGCCATTCAAGGTGTTTGGCCAAAACAAATGCTTGGCTGGCACTTAAAAAGCATGATTTATTTTCGCTTAGCTGCGCCGTGAATCCATCTGCATAAATTTGAATTATATACGATCGTAAATTTGTGCCTGCCCAAACCTGACAGATTGTATATATGTTTCTATTTTGGAACGAACAGTTAGCTTTGGCTGGTTGGCTGCCGTTATAGCGATACGATCCATCAATGAATTCGGAACTCAATGAACTCGTACTATGGCCAAGCAAACAACAACAACAACAACAACAAAAACTATCGCCCATAAAGCGCTATCGAGCGTCGATCGCCGATCACAGATCGTCGCACAGCCTCTCTGCGCGCTTCACATTTCGTATGCATTTTAGTTTGTATGTTAATTTTTATTATTATTATTTTTATTTTGTTGCCGTTGTTGCTGTTGTTGTCGCCTGGTTTCCAGTTTCAGTGTCTGTCCATTGTGTTTTATTTAATTTTAATTTTTATTTCGTAAATTTTAAATTTGTTGTCACTTCCGTAGGAGCGCAAAAGGTTTTTCCATTGTTCGTCCAATTCTGAATTCGAAATCGATTTCGTTTGTTTTTTATTATAATTGGGTGCGGTGCGGTAGTTTTTTTAAGTCTCCTCCCCTCTCTTTCCTACTCTCTCACTCTGCCTAATATATATCTTCTTTTTCTGAATCGCTGTCATTGTAGCGACAATTCAATAAACCCAAACCAAAACCAAAAAAAAATACTTTTTATGAATAGCTCGCTGCATATTTAAATAAATGTGTGTGTGCGTGTGTGTGTGTGGCGATTGTGTTTTTAGTCATACATAGAATATTAATAAAATTTATGGTTTATTTGGAATTTTCGTGGCTTATTAATTTGCCATAAAAACCTGGCGGGCAAAGTGTGTGGCAAAAGTTAAGTGGCAATCGGTGGCACCTAGACGCCGAGAAAGCGAAACACAGCTGACACACACACACACACACACACACACACATGTCTCAGCTTAGGCCTATTTCAAGATGAATCACAGCTTGTTAGCAAAGTTCACAGCTGAGTTACGTTGCTCTGTTTGAGTTTATTTAGGTTTTTCTACTCGGTTTTTTCGTTCACTCTTTGCACAGGTAACATTTTTTTGTAGCACATTGCTCAATTTCTATATATACTCTAATATATATACTTTTAGTTCATTAGCATAAAGCATGTATGTTCCTAAATTGTGCTTAGAGAGAGATTGCCTGGAGTTAGTCACGCAAATAGTAACAAGACTCGACCTGAATTATTCCGTACTGCATTTATTCTAAATGACAATAGTTTAGATTGCGCGCCGTGCTCTACTTATGGCTACCATAAATTGTAAATTGCATAAATTGTCTTAGCACGAGCATCCGGGTTCGACTGCCAGGCCAGCTTATGCATATACTACTCTCTTGGCTAAAGGTCTTTAGCTGTCAGTGCTACTTGAAAATAGTTTGGTTAGTGTATGTCATATCATATTCATTTGTAATATGACTAATGATAATAATACAAATATTTCTACAATATTAATTAAAAACCTTATTTTAGCAGTAGTCCAAAATGCTTTATTTAGCGTCAGTCAGCTCTGTCGCTCAATCTTTCTTGGGCCTGTCACTGTGGCACTGAGCTTGGTCTTTATCCTGTATTAACCTTCAAGGTTCAGTCCTTCTTTGTGCTCTAGCAATGCAATGCAATGTCCTTAGTGATCCAGCACTCAGCTTACAGCTTTTCCGTCGCAATTGCTTTTCAGCAAAGTCAAAACCTCATTTTCATCTGGATCTTAATATGAATCGAATTCAACTTCACACAAAAATATCCAATTTTATTTACTTGCTTCTGCTGCTCTGAAGCACAAAAGATATAAATAAATAATAATAAAATTTATATTCATTAGTTATTTTAAGGCTCAATAATGCCTTAAACAAAACTTTTGTATATAAAATCGTATTTTCTATATGCTAAAGAGAAATGATTTAGTAGAGTTATTGATTTTGTTATATGTATTCAGTAAAGGCGAAAGAGACATTTCATCATATATTTGGTGTAAGAATAAAGTTCTGAAATGTAGTTTTCATATAAGCAAATCTTTTGTTTTCATTGCTGAATTCATTACAACTTTAAAGAGAAACTTTCTATGGGCTTTTGCCACAGGTCTGAGTCTCTGTCCGATCCTTCGGCTTAATTGTTTGTTTATGCACTTTAAATTTCAACAGCTGTCAATATAAAGTCGGTTATGTACTTGCAGGGGCAGCTACATAAGGCATTGCCACATGGCAAGCGAGAAAATCAATTTGGGTATCGGCTGATTGGAAATATGCAAATGCGGAGCCAAAAATGCGGAATGAAGCCATCAAAATCGAATTGAAGTTGAGTTTCGGAAACGCTGCCTTAAATATGGCAAAGTCTCAGCTGTGCTGCGCCTCACAAGGAGAAGCAATTTGAGCATTCTCTTCTTCTTCGCTTGTTTTTAAACTTTATTGATGCTTCATGTCAATTCGCCAGCTTCGCAAAGCGAAAACTTAATTAAAAAATCCAGCGGCTGGCAAACGGGGGAGAAAAAAAGACAATAAGAAGAGGCAATCCTTTTTGGGGCCACTTAATTAAAATCACAAAAGGCGCAGAGTTATGTAAAATTAACGAATTTTTTGTATATATTTTATTTGATCTTTTTGTTGCTGGGCTTTTGTTGTTGTTTTTGTGAATATTTGTGAATGGAGCGTTTGTTTCATTCAGCAGCAGCAGCGGCATCAGCAGAAGATGAGGCGCAGAAAATGAAAGGCAATCAGTTAGAGCAGGCCGAAAGCAAGAGATAAACAGACAATAAATATGAGGTCGGCCCTTTTGCGGCGCATTACAAAATGTATTTTGGTATTTTTTCTTCTTTCTTGTATTTCTTCATGTTATTTGTTGTTTGCGGGGCACAAAGAGGCCACACAGCGACAGCGGTTAAAGAAAAACGCATTTCAAGAGTTTCCCATGGAGGTATACACACACAGGCAGACACACACACGCATACAAAATGGAGCCGCAACAGTTAACAAAGTTGGCAGCGCAGTCAATGCGGCGTATGCGTAATACGGCTGCTTGCTGCTCTGCCACTGGTTTTCAGCACTCACGCATACACACAAAGTCACACGCACATGCACACACTGACGCATGCGAGCGAGAGATAGCCGAGAAACGGGTTAAGGGCAGGCAACTGACAGTTGAGCGCCAGCAGCGACGCAAACGCTGCTGCCATTGGCCGCCCAAAAGCGCCACAAGGCAACGCCCACTTAACAACTGAGCATACGTTTGCCTGTGTGTGTGTGTGAGTGTGCAAGTGTGTGTGTGTGTGTAAAAGAAAGTTGGTTGCGTTGCACAGCAGCTAGATGACAGCCGACAGCTGCATAACAGAGATGGAACTACGTAAGAGTATATAGTAGAGCTCAAGCCAGAGCGAGATAGAAGAAAGGAAAGAGAGCGCTTTTTGGGGCTACTGCTACTGCTCTTTGGCATATAATTTGTGTGTTTGCGCACGCTCTTAATTAAAACGTAAGTTTTTCTGGTGAACGTGGGCGCATTTAGGCTTAATTAACAGGCCAGCACGCACGCACGTAACGCCCCAGCGTAGCGCTCACCAAAAAAACTTAACTCACCTGCTTTGCTCTCGGATACACACACACACTCACAGGGGCACACGCATACAGTGTCACTCCGCGCTCTCATCCAATCAGAGCACGGTGCGCTCACTCAAACTCGTTTTTGCGCTCAATTGTGCTAGAGCGAGACAGTGCAGAGACAATTGAATGCAAGCAGCGAACAGCAAGCAGCACCACCACCAGCAGAAGCAGCAGCAGCAGCAGAAGCTGTTTTATGCTCTTGTTGTTGTTGTTGCGCCGCTCAACTGTTTCAACACAGGCAGCTGTTAAACCCATCAAGCTGAAGTTTCGATCGTAACTTTGCAGTTGACTCTCGCGCACAGAAGCGTTCGGAAGTGAAATATATTTTATTAATAATATTAGCAGTCGAGCTGTGCGAGCTTTCTGAGCTTATAAGCTTTGAATCGTGTAAGCCCCGTCGCCGTCTGGCAAATTACAAAAGTGAACGAAATTCGAAAAGGTGAACAGAACTGCAATCAAATTTTGTTTCTTCGCTTGCAAATACACATTTGCATTTGGTTTTACGGACTAAAAGGTAAGCAGACGCCATTTTGTTAGACGTTGCCATTTTGTGGCTACTGTTAAAAGCTACCGCAGTTACGCAGCAGCAAAAACGATATGAAGAAAAAGAAGAAAACGAACAACAACAACAACTACAGCATACAAAACTCGCATAGACTGTGTGGTAGATAGACAGAGACAGAGAGTGAGAGCAAGTGCGCTTTAAGCGCTACTTGTCTTGCGCATGCGCAGTAGCCGAAGCTTATAAGAACTTGCTTCGGCTTCTGGTCTTGAGCTTCTCCTTCGTGCCACGAATGCGTCTTCGGCTTCGGCTTTAACGTTCGGCTTGACCAGTTAGAAAGAAGAGCTAGGCAGAGCTGCTGCTGCTGCTGGCGTGGCTGCTGCTGTTGCTGTGGCACTACAGTAGTCCGATGACTCACACACACATATACATATACGCACACACATTTACATACACATCCACATTCACTACTGTATTGAGCCGCACTCAAGACACACACACACGCATACAGAGACACACATCGAAACGCCTCGGTCTTTTGGTCTTGACTGCGTCGTCGCCGCTTCCTCAACTTGGCAGCAGCGACGCTAGCAGCAGCAGCAGCTCTCGGCAGCAGAGTTGACTACTATTTCTTTCAGTTATTAGTAGCATTCATTCATTCAACTTTGTGCCGCGCAAGCGTGCGTAGTTCCTCAGTTCCTTCGCGTGTACCTACCAAGCAAAAAGCAAGAAGCAACATAAAATTAAATAAAATAATTATCATAATAATAACGATCTACTTTGTGATTCCATATATACACACATATATATACATAATAAGCCGTTGAGCTACGTGACTTTAATTCATTCGTTCCCTGACGCCAGTGGCCAATCGTTGTCGTCGCGTTAATTCCAGTGATTAGCAGCAGCAGCTACCAACATTTTGTCGCATTTCCCATTGGGTAAGTTTTGTCTATACGACTGCGCAGTTACGCAAGCGTCGCCATTGCTATGGCCCTGGCTGCGCAGTCAGCGTCGCTTCGATTCGGCTGCACCTAGGCGGCGGCGTCGCACAGTAGCCAGTAGGCAGCATTGGCGCTTATGTTATTTCTGTTCTGTTCTCTTCTCTTTATTCTCTTGCTGTTGTTGTTGTGTATGTGTTTGCTTGGCTACCAGTTTTACGCGCTTTCATTGGCTCAAGCCAAATATGCGTGAGAGCCGTTCGATGCGTATGCGAGTGTGTGTGAGTGTCTTTGCGTGTGCAAGAGCGTGAGAGTTGAAAGAAATGGCTTGTCAATGGCGTGCGTTAAGCTTTTTTCGCCTGCGCATTAAACTATTACAAAATGGCGAACATAACAGAACTTCTAATTAGCCAATTGGACACATTTCATTACAGCTTCAAATCAAAGCAATCAGCAAAGGTTATATTAAAAACTTACGTTTTCTATTTAAACGGACATTAATTTGGTATATTAATTAGAGGGTTTTATTGTATGCATATAGTTTAAATATAACAATTGTAAAAATGTATATACAGCTTGATTCGAGCTGGTTTCTCTTAAGCTATCATGATTTTGATCATTTGCCGACGGCATTTTTTCAACATGAGCTTATGTGGCCTCAGCTCAGCTTCAGTTGTAAGTCCATGAGTCAGCACTACTTGGCCGACTTCTTAAAAACGATCAAGGTCTGTGCGAGGTTAATAAAACTTGCCAAACCTATCATACACATAGACAATGCGACTCACAACCGCAAATGACTTGTTGCCACAGATCATCAAATGATTTTGGCTTAAACTAAGCTCTGACTCACGCACAATGCTTAGCGTTTTCATAAAGCTTAGCTCGATGAGTCGCCAAATCTTACAAAACTCATTTTTGCTATTTATATAATTGTATATATATATATAAATATATCTGTCTATGTATCTGTACATAGGTACAATTGTGCTCAGCAGGAAGTGTCTGGGAGTGAGTGACCTCGTCCTTTTTAGGGACCACACGCTGCGTTCCATCAATTAGGCACAAATTAGTTAAACGTACGATCTAGCAGACATTTTGCACCTTTGCGTGGGTGCCTAAGACTGCGGCTGTTACACACGCTGCACAACAACAACAACTGTCTGTCATAACTGATCACGCAACATCTGAGCGCATCTAGTTCACATTTGACGCCGTGCGTGTTTTCCCACAGGAAAAAATAGCCAGACATTTGTCTTTCGGTCAATACTCGAAGGATCCTTTTGTGGTCGTAGGTGTTGTCTCCCTCTCTTGAGTTTCAGTTGTGTCCAGTTTCGCGCGCCCCGCACCCTTGCATTGTTCTCTCATTCTGTGGACTACTTGAAGCGCGGTGCCTAATTGTTGTTGTCTCTGTTGTTGTTGTGTGGCTGGGGTTTTATTTTTCTTAAGAATTCTGCGCCATTAGCACAATTAGATTCGTATCAAATCGTTTCGGTGCCTTTGTCCTTTACATTTTTTATATGGCCTGAGCCGTGCGGCTTATTGTCATTTTTTCCACATTTTCGGAATGTAATTTTTAATGACACCTTGCCAACTCACCTTGTCCGCCTCCAAAAGACGAAGAAGAACAAGAAAAGGGCCACATTGGTAAGTGTGGTAATCGCTTTTGGCCATGTCAGCTACGCTGGCCCTTAACAGTGTGCGACGTGTGTGTCACTCTGCTGTCTGTCTGGCTGTCTTTCTTCTTCTTCTTTTAGTTTTTTAGGTCCTGGCAGCCTTATCGGCGTGTACCGCTACACATTATCGCTGGGCTGGGGTGTTAAACTGTAACTTTTCGGATTTTGGCTTCGTGGAAAGGCGCTGGCGCACACACACCCTCGCACACACGCACACACACTTGCCAAACGATTTAGATACAGATTCTTTATCTCTCTCTCACTGTCTGTTTGTTGCCATTTTTGGTGCAAATCTAATTTCACGCAGCATTAACGCCTTTCGCATGCCCTTCACAAGCTGCTGCATCTTCACTTTAACATCTGAAGTCTGAGTTTCACGCTGAGTCTTGATCTTTTACTATACACACAAACACACACACGCACACATATATATATTTCGACTCTCTGCGCGCCTTGGACGTCTCGTTGTGCTGTGTGTACAAAACACTAATTATTTTCAGTGCGGATTAATGGGATTAACTGCATCTTGTACAACACTTTATTATACAATATTTTGGCCAGTTTCAATGTCTGCTTAAGCGCTTATGTGTGCGCGCGTGTGTGTGGTCTGTTGACTGTGCTTGAGCTAATGCTAAGCGGCTTTGCTTAGAATATCAAGCGTCAAACGACAACAGTTGGCAAACAGCCAATGGATTATGCAAACACAGTAGATATAGAGAGAAGAATCTAGCATAATATTTATGTATTGGCATTTTTATGAAGTATATTGCTATCGATCTGAGGCGTATGCAGTGTCAAATTTGTGATTTTTTATGCAATAATTTATTGCTATTCAAATATTATTAGAATTTGTTTTTAATGTCACATCAAATTTTATTAAATTCTTTGTTAAATTCTGTTTTCACCTTGAAATAATTGTTGTTGTTTCTGCTTCTGAAATTTCGTGAAATTAGCTACTTAAAGTTGTTTCTGCTTTGTTTATGCACTTTTGATAAACTAGATTAATCCGGCTTGATTTATTTATAAACAGTTAGTTCTGTACATTTATAGCCGAGCAGGTTTTAAATCTGTGATAAAATATTTCTTTTAATTCTACTCGATTTCTGGTTCACAAAATAATTATATTCCTTGCTTGAATAACAAAAAACTAGAACAATTAGTCGCTTAGCAGTCGAACTGAATGTCTGGTTGATATTTCAGTTTGACAAAAACTAAGCTATTTCTATTAAAAAACATTCCAATTCCTTCAGAAAGATATTTTGCTAAGGCCTTCAGAGAGTCAGAAAGAAAGTGAAATAAATTGAAAATCTTCTTAATTTATAACAAATCCATATTATATAAAATAACATAAACAAGACTCAAAAAAGTATAAAAAAAATATTCAAATATTTTTAACTGCTCTAAAAATGTATGCAAATGAAGTTCGAATGTTATTACTAATATAATAACATTTATGATTAAAATTAATAGTTCTTTATTGATTATAGTAAGCCGATCATGGGCTGACAAAATCTCCGCTTTGCTTTAAGTATTTCTTTTATCTCTTCCGAAAGTAGTTCACATTCATTGAGTAAGTCTCACTTAATGGCTTTCCAATAAATAAGCTGTAACACTTGCTCTTCTTCTTCTTCTGGCTGTTCTTTATTTTACGCATTCATCTGGCTGGCTCATCTGTCAAGTTAAATAAAGTGCTTAGGCGCAGTCGTAAGCCGTGGCTAATGCTGCTCCAGTTAGGCCCACGCCAAATGCCGTCGACAAAAGCACGGCCGAAAGGCAAAGAGCCAAAAGCATAGCCAAAGGCCAGAGCGAGCTCAACAGACAGACAGACAGACAGAGAGACAGACACATGCAGCCTCCTCCGGCGCATCCACAACGAATCCCATGGCCTTATGCAGGCGCCCTGTGTCGCATGATTAACGGCGTTAAAATGCCAATGTGACGCCACATTGTGTACACAAATTAACATGGACTTGGACTACGACTCTACCTCTCCCACCAACCCGCTCTCTCTTTCTCGTTGTCTCTCTCGTTCTAAGAGCTGGCGATCAGCGACCTGAACGTCAGTGTTATAATTTGAATATGTTTAGTGGGCATTAATGTTATAATGACAATAACTACGTAGCGTCTGCGTCTGGTGCAGCACCCGCTGTGACTTTTGCCTTTTGTTGTCAACGTTTTGGCCCCCAAAGCCCCAAAAAGCACCAAAGACTCTTTATTTGTCTTCCTCTTGCTGGCAAACTCCAGCTGCGAGCTGCGAGCTGCGAGCCAGCTCAAAGAAACACACAAAAAATAAAACTCATATAAATATCGAAATCGGGGCTTGCCGAGAGACGTTGTCGCTACCAGTCAGCGCAGGCTTTTGTTTGCACAGAGATCTTCGAATCCGAATCCGAATTCCCATTCCCATTCCCATTCCAAAAAGCCCCAAGAATGTATGGCATAACATTAAGGGACTGACGCGTATTTATATACAGATTCATATGCATATATCCAAAAAAAAAAAAACGAAAAAGAAATGTTATCCAGCGGCGCCGAAATGACAAAAATAAAATTACATAAAAAATAACAGTTGTTAACTACCGCACAGGATCCCAAAAAAGAAGAAGCACACATTCAGATCCGTTGGATATATCCAAAAAAGCGGGCATAAATTTTAGGCGCTGTTTCGGCCCAGGCGCCAATTAAAAATAAACTTGTTACAGCGCCACTTTAATGAAGCGACTAAAATATGGCAACTGAATGCGGCAAGGTGACGTCGTAAAGGCATAAACACCACTCCGAGTGAATTTGTGACGCCTTTCAGCTTCTTTATAGCTCTCATAACCATAGACGGCAACTCTTGGCCTATGTGAACTGGGCCGTTAGTGCAGCTATGATCATTACATTTTCATACATGCTCTTCATAGTGCAGTTAATGCATTTCAATGCATAAATCTAGACAATTGCAGCCGTATAAATATCATAGATCATACGGTATTCTTAAGTGAGTCTGCAAAAACTACTTTAATCTAACTAAACTGGCATGAATGAAGGCTAGCATATGGACGTATATATATTGGATATATGTTTATAAATGGCAAATGGGATTTTAATGTTTTTATATTTGTTTAAGTCTGTTAGACCTATATGAACTCAGCTGTTAGCAGAGCTACGAACTTGAAATTTGGTTTGTGGTCGTCTTATAACAGTTAAAACACTTTTCTGCACAAATCTTTAAATATAGCATTTGGGAAAGGTACTGAAAACATAAATCACATATATGAAAATATATGAATGATGATATAAAAAAAAATATTTCATATATAAGTGTTAAAATTCAATTAATTAATGAATATTTCACATAGAAACGTATTGACTTTGAGTTTTTACCATCTTACTGATTGCTTATACCTATTTTACCTATGCGAACTCAGTTGTTAGAGTATCTACGATCTTTAAAATAAGTGTGTGGTCTTATTTTGACTGTATATGTGTTTTAAAGCAGAAATAGTAATAATCCTCACACTACAGCTCATTATAATGGCTAGATTCATTTGTTCAAAGAATATTTAGTTATAAATTGAGTTAGGAATAAGGAGCTTTGTACCGCTTCAGCACATGTCACTTAAAGTTTATAAATAACAAATAAAAACATATTAAGACAAATTTTATTGAAGTGTTAAAAAACTTGTATGTGAGCTAAATAGCTTATCCTCGAGCTGTTCGGCTGAATTTAGGTCAAGCTGTAACTATTTATGGATTTCGTATTTTAATATCAAGTTTGCGCGGGCGACTAATTGAACAATTGTGTTGCGGAAGTACAGTTGACAACAAAAATACGGCAGCTGTTGACTGGGGGCTGGCAAAAAATAAGAGGCAGTAGAAGCAGAAAGCAAGTCAGAGTTGTCGTTTAAGACAAATTATAAGCGAAGGTTAGCAACTGAAGCTGGGCGGCTGGTGATTTGTAAATGTCAACACCAAGTTCGAGTTCCAGTTGCGTATGGGGGCTAGCGGCTGAGGAGGCTTTAATGAGTCATTTTCAATTTCATGTTGCGTGATTTAAGTTGACAACTTGTTGTTGTCGAGATGTTTTGTTGTTGTTTTTGTCGTGGTATTTTTGCTCAAATTTATTGGCACATAAAAGATGTCGCAGGCGTTGCTAACTTTATTTAACTTTGTTTCTTTTCTCTCTCTCTCCCTCTCTGTCTGTATTTTTAGGTGTTTGCCTTAAAGTGCGCCATAAACTAAAAGGCAACGGCAGCTGGAAACACGGCCCACCCAATACGCCTACAACAACAACGAAGCTAGCACACGGAGAAATCACAACAACGCCAACAGCCAACGAGCAGCGAGCGTGTGACAGTTGACAAAGAAAGAAGAAAAAAGCGAACTTAAAGAGGAAAAGAAAAGAAAAAGCATTGCCACACATACAGCAAATAACTGTTATCTGCCATAGCAATAGAGATAGCGATTACGCTTTGAGTACCGTTAACAGCGTCAAGCATTGCGCTCATTGCACACAGAGCAAAGCTCAAAGCTTTCCAAACGCAACCCCACTCAGCGCGAACACTGAGTGCAAGAGATCGAGCACACAGAAAGACAGAGCGAGAGCGAGAGAGAGAGAGAGAGAGAGACACTGTGTGTGTGAGTGTGCGACAAAGAGAGACCGAGTGCCAGAGAGCAGACAGCAGAGAGTGAGTGTGTGTCGTCGGCAGCGACGCCAACTCAACGAAAAACTTCACCCACTGATTGTGCGAGCACTGAGCGCGCGCGCGTCGCACGTAGGCAAAAACAAAAAGAGGAAAAAAATCAACGAAAAGAGGGGAAAATATATCGTCTGTCAAAATGTTTGCTGTAATGCGAATCGACAACGATGACTGCCGGTCGGATTTCCGTCGCAAGATGCGTCCAAAGTGTGAGTTCATTTGCAAGTATTGCCAGCGGCGTTTCACCAAGCCCTACAATCTGATGATACACGAGCGCACGCACAAATCCCCAGAGATAACATATTCCTGTGAGGTCTGCGGCAAGTACTTCAAGCAACGTGATAATCTGCGTCAGCACAGGTGAGTTCTACACACAATACACACACACAAACACACATCTATATATAGTCTATATTCTATTTAGTATAAATATTTAAACATAAATGTACATAAGCACACACACCCACATAGGCATAGCTGCTACTTGAATTGGCTTGCATGAAAAAACTACAAATCAAAATATTCTTGGTGTTGGTTAGCTTTACCTGTCCAATATATAAGGAAGTCTTATTTGTTTGTTATCTTTTCCAAGTTTTGTATAACTTATGACTTGATACAAAGAAATTTGCACCTCACCAAAAAACCACATTGATAAGTTTACCAGGAATCAACGGATTCCCAGTCTTTAAAGTTGCATTTTAATTGTAGTCAAGATATTAATATTAGTGTCAAGGTATTTACTAGGCACTTTGATAAGCTACAATTAAATTATGTTTTCTTAGTAAAGTCTTTAGTCATTCCTAGGAATCCGCTTTTATTAAGGAAGCCGTCTATAAACCTGAGTGAAATGTTCCGTTATTCGATTGACTACAATAGATAATTGAAATGAACGTGACTGTTATAGTTTGTGGATATAGAGTATATGGAGTATTTTGAATATAAAGAATATATAGAATATATAGAATATACAGTATAAATTGAATATATAGAATATATATCTGTTTACCTCAGACTGTTAGATATAGGGCTCACTCCAGAACTATATTCAGTAAACTCTGCAGTAAACTCTATGTATATATTTAACCTTCTAAAGAATTTATCTTATGTTTGAGCTATATGTAATATAAGTCTCAAAGCTAGTCAGTAGTATATAGAGATAGACATATGTGATCGAGTATCTATACTATTCTATAGAGCTGAAGATATCAAAGACTAGTTCCTAATTATAGGCAATATATTTATATATAAATATATGCCTCTAAATTTATATATAATATCCACAAATATATATCTAACCTTTAGTTTTATGTATCACAAAAAGCTAACACATACGCACACATATAACACCTGTACGCACAAGAAAATATATTCGGCTTGATTATTGGATAAGATATGGATATACACACAAAAAGATATATATATATATATGTATGTATATATAATATCTATATGTATATATAATATCTATATGTATATATAATATCTATATCTATATATATATATTCATGCATATTTCGACTATTTATCACAACACGTCTCTACTACATCACCTTTTATGTGTTTTCTCTATTTTCTCTTCTATTTGTAGATGTAGTCAGTGTGTTTGGCGATAAGCTAAAATTATCATAAATACAATATATATAAAAGAAAAAAAACAACAATACACAGCAATATAAAATATATATATAAAAAACAAAAGAAAACAACATCAGATATCTAAGCACCGCAGCACCAACAACAAACAGCAAACAACAGCAAATGCACGCAATATTACAAAATATTAATTAAAGCAAAGAAATGGAAACTTTTTGGGCAACTGTCATACACATAGAGTTATCGATAGCTGCTGGTAATCGGTGATCGGTAAACGGTAAACAGCAGCTCGAAAGCAACAACAGCAAGCACCAACGCCCACCGACCCACCCTCATGCACCGCACACACACAAGCACACATGCACACACGCACACCTGCACACACATATACACTCAGCTTACCACTTTGATGCAGCAGCAACAGCAGCAGCAGCAGCGACAGCGGCGGCAGCAGCAACATTCGCATCTGCATCGATAAACATCGGAATGCAATCGGGTGTTGGTAATCGATAATTCGCTTTTGGTTTGGCTGTTTTTTGTTCTTCTCTTAAATATTTAAGAATTAATTGGTTCTGCCACGCCCACCCAAAATGTTGCGCAGGCGCAGCAGCAACAGCTACAACAACAACACCAACAACACCAACAACAACAACAACAGCAGCAACAACAACAACAACAATTTACAATAATCTTTGCAGAAACTTACACATGAACACCTGTGGGCGTGCGTACAACAAATAAAACAGCAAGCAACATGTCACATGCCACAAGCAATACATGCAACATGCAACATGCAGCATGCCTCAGCAACATTGCAATAGCTTTGCTTTGCCTATGGAAAGCACAATTAAGCTCGAGCTTTTTGCGCTTTCGCCCAGCCTATAGCAAAGCAACAACTCTTGCAACATATCCATATCAATCCATGCATCAATCAATCAATCAATCAATTAATCAATCAATCAATATGCAATCACAGCTGCAATTCTCTTGCCTTATAACTCGGAACTTGTGCGATTCTCTCGCTATTCTTATTAATAATACAATTAATTACAATTTAATAATAATAATAAAAACAAAACAAAAAAAAAAACAAAAACAAAAACAAATTCATAAATTTTAAGTATTTTTTATTTTAAAATCGCAAACACGTTAAAAATGTATTACATAAAATTTATAATAATAAAATAAATAATAATAAAAAAAAACTATTAAACTATATAATGATATATATGCATTGTTTTATTAAGTTTATTAATAAAAAATTCAAAAAATAAAAAATTAAAGCAACAAAAAGTTTCACTTAAAAATATTTTCTTTGCAATAAGATTGTAAATGTTTTGCTATTTATAAAAAATAAATAAAGAAGAAAGTTTGGAAAATTAAAAAAAATCAGACGAGAAACCATGCGCAATATGTATTACATGCAGCGTGCCACGCCCACAAAGAGGGCAGCGCTGGCATCGCTGGCGTGCAAATAAAACTAAATAATAATAATGAATAATGCATAATAATAATAATATTTTATATTAATGTTTTAATATGTATAATGAATTTTTGTTTTATTTTGGCATTTTTGTGGTAAAGACAGAAAAAACAATAAGTAAATAAATAAACATATTTATACAATGTAAAATCCACCTTGAATTGTTTTTCTTTCTGTTTGGTATTTGCTTGGCAGCATCTGGCAAACACTTGCAGCATGTGACGCAAGTCGAGGTTTGATTGAAAGTAAGTGTTGTGCATTGAATACGATTTTTTAGAAATATATATCATATATATTATCATCTTTTGATGTCTAATGGAATTTAAAAGCTATTTAAATTGGAATTGAGAGTATTATTAGAGATGGATGAGAAAGAGAGGGAGATAGATAGATAGATTGAGAGAAAGATAGACAGATACAGTGAGAGAGAGTGAAATATATATATATAGATATATATATATATATATAGAGAGAGAGTGGGAGAGAAGAGATAAAATAATATTAAAAAGCAAATATATGTGTGTGAGAGTCTGAGATAGATAGAGCTAGATAGATGTAGAGAGTGAGAGAGAGATTGTCAGCCAGTGTCAGATAGTAGAGACTGAAGACTGTTAAAGAGAAGGAAATAGATTAAAAGAGAAAAAACTAGAGAAAGAGATAGAAACAAAAAAAGAGATAGAGAATAGAAGAGACTTAGACACATAAAGAGAGGAAAGCAGTGAGAGATAGTGAGAGCTCTAAGCCAATTGCTGTCTCAACTGTCATATATAAATTTGTACACTATGAAAGAGCTGTATTCAAAGGCTACTTAAAATATATAGAATTGAATTTATTCTATGAAATATTGAAGTATTCAATTTGAAGATACTTCAAGTTGACTTAGATCCATTCAGATCCGTCTATGGGTACTTATGCATAAATGAATTCTAATTACTATGCACAATATTCTCATTATTTCAGCTACAATTCAAGCACATTGAAAAGCTGAATCACACCTACATACATGCATATATATATATATATATAGATATATCTGTGTACCTGCTATTGTATAAGACATCAATTAAGTCAAGCGATTAGTTAAGCGAGAGAACGTGCTGTTTGCTTATATTATTCAAATGATTGAATGATTGCCCAATGCATTTATGGATGTACATGACACGACTGTGCTTCTGTGAGCTAACTGCACTGCACAGCGGCAACTTGGGTCATCCTCTCCCTCTCTCTCTATAGACACATAAATAATATTTAAATAGAAAATAGATAAATATTAAGGGCGTGGGCTGCCAACAAATGCAAATTACATACTTCCCCTTTCGAGTTGGCAAATTAATATTTGAATACTCGCTCAACTGCCAGTAACATAGAGCATATTGGCTTCAATCAAATTGCAAGTTCCAAAGCATTGCTTATATATTAGTCTTTGGCTGATTTGGAAGGCATTTTCGTTCAAGAATTGAGAAGAATATAATTAGTTTACAGCTGAAAGACGCTAGAGACTTGACATTCTTATGTATTTATGACATCTTATTATACCTACGACCTTGGCAAATCTGTGAAAATTGTATTCAGACAGTTAACTTACTGCAGTTGCCGTCCACATAAACAAAAAGTTAATATTTAACTCAGATAAATAACTTTTGTCACAGATGCCATAACTGAACGAAACAAATATTCTAAATATTCCCAGTTGATTATATTTGTACTGAAACTTACTAATGAGCATCACACCTTAGATTGAGCTACGCCTTATAATTTCTATATATTTCTTACACTCAACAATCTTTCGAGGACGAATCATAATATAGCAATAAAAACTTTTGCTGCTGAATTTGACTTTCTTCTCTTCTTGTAGATAAGAATATTATATAATTAATATCTTTTTTAACTACTATAGAAAATGTTGTTTAAAAACTAACTAAATTCTTATTTGATGAAAGTTTGAGTTTCATCTAAAACATTGACTGATCTAATTGATAATTAGTTGGCACTGGAAGACCCTTTAGTTCTTAAGTAATCAACTGAATCTAAATCAGTTGATCAAACAAAATCATCAATTGATTACCATGCGAGCTGAATTACAGGAGATTTAAACTTTGTCCTGGCCAAATTATGCTGCCAGATGTTAAAGACATTAGCACAAAGGCCAGAGTCCAGCTGTGAGTTTGTGTCTTGTGCAGCGTATTGCGTATTTGCTGTCATTATCTGGAGAAATTCTCACTAGATACACATCATTAAGGGCACCATTAGGTGCGCACCCCCTCGCAGACCCCAAAGGCCTTTGTCGGCGTCAAGTGAGCCCCACGCGTGCAGCGACCCTTTAACAAATTAGTAAAGAGTGCAGCAGAAAGTGTTCACATTGCAGGCGCGGGGTGTCCGTGCGTCATAAATCATGCGGGCCAAAGAGTGTGCCACCCGCTGCGCTTCGTGTTAATTAAATATTGACTATGTTTTGATAAGCCGTAACATTGCCGCATTAATTTTCCAAAAAAAAAAAAGTAAAGAAGCGAAAGGCAAAGAATAAAATTTAAATGTTGCACGCGGCAGGATGCGCCACGCTGCAGCCGGATAATGAAAGCGTTTCCAAATGCGAAACGAATGCTTGGCCAGCTACTGTGGCGAGTGTGCGCGTTGTCCAGGATGCAGCCGCATGTGGTCCGCTGTGGAGGCACGTGTGGTTTTCCAGCTAACCGCGTTCCGCTCGCCACTGAGCCGCTTCCTGCTGCTGCTGCTGCTGCTGTGTTGCTGCCGCTTTAGTATTAAAACTAAACTGTTTCCACCTACCCGCAAAAAGGACGACAACTGGCGCAGTTTGACTTCTGCAATCACACACAGAGAGCGAGAGGGAGATACAAGTTGGCCAAATCTGTTGCAGCGTCTTGCTGCGTGCTGCGTTTTGGCCACCACCCGCGACTTTTGTTGGCTTAGACGCAGCTCTCAATCTGAGCTTCAGCTACTCCCTCTCATTGCCTGCGCTGCCCCACACTCACGTTGGCTCAGCTTATCAATCGCCCATCAGAGCTGGAATTGTTGCTGCTGCTGCTGCTGATTCAGCGCTTCGGTAGCGCAATTCATTTCCGCCTTTGGCCTGGCTGCACATTTCACTTGGCCAAGTGATTCATGCACCACTTTGGCCAACTGCTGCAGCCACATCATAAAAGCGTTAAATAGTCGTCAGGAGTTTGGCTTTTAGTACTTTACTAAACGCGCATCTCGCTCGCTCTCTCGCGCTTGATTTGAGTCATCTCAGACGACTTTCTAAGCAGCGGCCTTCGCATAAATCTCATCGGCTTGGGCCGTGCGACGACAATATTTGGCAACAGGTTAACCTGTTTCAATTGCCCAGCTTCAAGGTGCGACGGCGTCTCAGCGACTGCGCACTGCGGACTGCGTTTGCGACGACGACTCACACCTGAAGAGACGTTGTCTAACACTCATTAGATGTCATTTGCTGATAAACGCTTTCGAATACCCTAACCCAAAAACGGGTAACTCAACTTGGTTGTAGAAGTTGCATTGCGTGATTTTATCGAATGATGTTTGGCTCAATCAAACAGTGACGCAGTCAATCATTCAGAAAAAAACGCATAGTCAGTAAGCTAATCAAT